AAAATAATTCTTCTGAATATGCATGACATCAAGGTTGTGACGGAGAAGATTATCCTTCCAATAAGGCAACTCCCTAAATATACTCTGTTTCGTCCAATTATGAGTAACACCGTATCTGGGGAATCTATAAGGTGGAGCTTCAGTAACTTTACTGAAGTTCTGGACCCTCTCCCAAATTTCCTCACCTGAAAGTATCGGAGGTGGAGAATCATATTCCATTTTATTCTTTTTGAATGCATTTTTCATCCTTCTAAACTCATGATCAGGAGGCAAGAATTGACGATGACAATCAAACCATGATTTCTTTCGGCCATATTTCAAAGTGAACGCTTTACTATTTTTCATGCAGTAAGGACAAGCTAGCTTCCCAGCAGTCATCCACCCAGACAACATTCCATACGCAGGTAAATCATTAATTGTCCACATTGAATTAGCACGCAAATTGAAATTCTGCTTGGTTGATATGTCATATGTTTCAACACCATCGTACCACAATTGTTTTAGATCATCAATCAAAGGTTGCAAATATACATCAATCAAACTTTTCGGATTACGTGGACCGGGGATAATACACTTTAAGAATATATATGGACTAGTCATGCACAACTCGGGTGGTAGATTATAAGGTGTAAGAAAGACAGGCCAACATGAATATGATGTCGCAGATACATTAAAAGGCGTGAAGCCATCCGCACACAGACCTAACCGAATGTTCCTTGGTTCACTAGCAAAATCTGGATATGTCCTATCAAAGTGCTTCCAAGCTTCTCCATCTGAAGGATGACACATAACACCAGGTGGTCTTCTATTTTCAAAGAGCCATCTCATATGAGGAGCAGAACTCATCGACGCATATAACCTCTTTAACCTAGGTATAAGAGGTAAATAATGCATCGATTTTATAGCGACCATATTCCCGCTGGAAAGCCTCTTGAAACGAGGCTTTTCGCAAAATTTACAACTATCTAAAGCTGCATCATCTTTATAATATAACATGCAACCATCTTCACAACAATCAATTCTCATTGACGAAAGTCCTAACTTAGAAACTAATCTCTTTGCCTTATAGAAATCACCAGGTAATTTGATATTAGAGTCAACTAGTTCACTCATAAGGTCAATGAAATAGTCCATGGCTGCTTGAGAAATATTTCAATCAGATTTAATACTTAGTAATCTAACTGCAACGGACAACTCAGAGTGCGGACTTCCATTACGTAGTGGACGATTAGCTTCCTCTAACTGTTCATAAAAATATTTTGCGTCATCATTAGGAGTTTGTTCAACATTTTCATTGGGCTCACCCCCTAAGTGCATCCCAAAAGCATCTGCAACCATATCATGAATTCTAGAATCACGATTTGTATTCTCCACCAACCTACTACTTTCACCCACAACCATGTTATAAAATATCCCATGGCTACCATCGATCTCTCCATGATTAATCCACACAAAGTAATTTGCTATAAACTCCTTACTATAAAGATGATGCTTAACTTCCGCCGGTTTTCCAAACTTCATACAGTCGCACCTAACACAAGGGCACCTAATTACTCCTTCACTTAGGTATGGTGGAAGTGACATTGCATGTCTAATAAAGTCATCCACCCCTTCTAAAAAATCCTCCCGCAATCCCTATCGATTAGGATAATTCCTATTGTACATCCAAGTACGATGTTCCATCTATACAAATAAAACAAGAACAAATTAATTTAGTTAATTTAAATCCATAATTTATACATTAAATAATTTAAATGCATTAATTTGAGTTCTATTAAGAACCATAAGTTCATAATTTAAGGTAGTTCATAATTTCTACCTTAAGTTCATAATTTATACATTATATAACTTAAATTCATTAATTTGAGTTCTATTAAGAACCATAAGTTCATAATTTAAGGTAGTTCATAATTTCTACCTTAAGTTCATAATTTATACATNTTATTTTTGTATCACAAATAAATTTGTTGCAAACAAATTGGCATGCCCAGTGGGACCAGTTCTGCCCTTCATCTCTTCCTCCTGCAAATTGAAACTACAAGCTTTAAAATTTTCTATTGTGATGATCGGATACTTCAAGTCTCGTCTTCAAGTTTCGCCAAGGCTACACCCCGACAAACCTTGAAGTAGGGGGCATTTGTAGACATTGAAATCTTAATGGATCGAGTTAAATCCTAAATTCAAGATACTACAAGACCTCTTGAAATCCTAGGAGTTTGTCAGTGTTGCTTAGAGGCTACTCTACCAAAACCCTAGGTCACTCTTATAAAAAATGGTTGCATAATCCTTTAAAAAATATCTCAAAAATGGAGATCATCTCGAAAATCCCATAAACTCACGAGATATTCACAAAGAGATCAAGAAGTGGCCGGATAATTCTTGATAATCAAATAATTCGAGAAGATCCACAACATACTTCATTGATATCAAATAAATCCATGAAAGCCCGCACCATCCTACGTTCGAGAAGCACGCTGTTCTAGCCCTAGAATCACGGAGATAATCAGGAGAGAAGAATCAAGGGGATAAACAGAATTGTACCCGCGTCTTTTTGTGAATGAAATTGTGTTTCTTCATATTTATATTGTGTCTGCAATTTTTTTTGGTATCACAAATAAATTTGTTGTCAAACAACTATTTCTAAAAAAAAATTAAATAACTTTTTGTTCTTATATATATATATATATATATATATATATATATATATATACACACACACACACACACACACACACACGCTTCGTTGTACTACTTTAACTACATATATAGCATGTTAGAGTATATTTTAGTGTATTCATCCCTTGTATTACAAAAGTGTTAACGGTTTACATTTATATTATTTAGATAGTAAATAGAAAAGTGATTTTTAATTTTGACCAATGTTGACCTGAAAAGAGACCAACTTTGGTCGCTAATTATCCAGAAATTAAAATTAGCGACCAAAGTTGGTCGCCAATTATCCAGAAATTCGAATTAGCGACCAAAGTTGGTCGCTAAATTTAAATCAGACTTATTTATATTTTATATAATATTTAAAATAATAATATTATTGTTAAACGTTAGAACTAGGTCCCAGATTAGCGACCAAAGTTGGTCTCTATCTGCTTCCCCTTTCATAAGCGACCAACTTTGGTCGCTAACTTTGAATTATATTTATTTATATTTTATAATTTTTTAAATAATAATATAATTATTAAAATTTTATTACTGGGTCCCATATTAGCGACTAAAGTTGGCCTCTATTTGCTTTCCCTTTCGTGAGCGACCAACTTTGGTCGCTAATTTTAAATTAAATTTATTTATATTTTAATATTTTTTTTAAATAATAATATAATTATTAAAATTTTATAAGTGGATCCCCATTTAGCGATCAAAGTTGGTCGCTAATTTCAGTATTTCTTTGACCAAGCAAGTCTGACCAGTCCAGTCAACATTTTGACCAAATTATCGACCAAAAAGCGACCAACCTTGGTCGCTAATATATTTAGAATAATTATTTAATTATTTTCTCCAATTTAGCAACCAACTTTGGTCGCTTTTCTTGACATATCAATTTTGGTCGCCGAATTCTGGTCGCTTTTTTCCGGAATTCTAGTAGTGAATGAGTGTGCGATAATGATTGTTGGTGATGATAGTTAAAAATAATAATATGCAATGAAGGCTATTGGTGGTCGTTTAGTGGTGGTGAGTATTGAAAGTAAACCCCTAATTCGGTCTATGCATGTTTTGCTGCCATACTCAAAGGCGAGGGGTTTCAAAAGTGGATGCAATTAGTCTGAGACTAAAGAAGCAATTAGTGCATTCAATTACTTTCATGGGTCACAAAGGAAAAGTTCTTTCAAACTTGACTATTTACTTCACCATTAATTTAGAGGTGGTCGAAAAATAATTGTGGTCGAGTAAATAGTTCCATGAATGACTTGAAAAATGTCTTGTTATCAAATCTAAGTAATTTCCTCGTGATTTTACTTGGTGGTTAAAATTTTGGTGCGATTGCTCATTGCTGTATATCATGATATTGGTACAATGGTACTGCGTACTTTTGTCAATGAAACTACGAACTTATTGGTGGAATTAACTATTGGGTGACATATGCAAAGGTAGATTGAAAACGTTTGTAAAAGTATATATACTGAAATTATTTCGGAATTACATTTTACTGACTTTAATATTTGTGTCGACTGTAATAAAAGAAAACAAATTAAGACACAAAAGGAAACAAACCAGAAAAAGTACAAAAGTTTCTTGATTATATATATACACATAGACAAATGGCGTAGCCACATACAACGAGGGGTGGTCAGACTTGTATATACAAAAAATTATACTGGGTATATAAATATTAAATTATTTTTTATACATATATATTAATTCTTGAACACCCTTAGTGTAATTCCTGGCTTCGCTACTGAAATAGACATCTATGTACCTTTTGATAATGTATTGCTCTCTTTGATGATTTCTCACGTTATGAATATGTTTATTTATTGCATGAAAGAAAATTAATACTTAGTACAGGTTTTGAATTGTTTCAAATGAGGTTGAAAGAAAATTAAATAGAATATTAAAATTAATAAAGTTGAATAGATATTCGTGAGTAATATGAAAGGTATTATAATGAAGTTGGTATGGTCAAGAGTACGTTAAACATACCACAATAAAATGATGAGATAGACAGTTGTAAATATACCTCGCTAGTAAATGGTTAAGAGTACGTTAACCAATTCATATTATTTTTTTATCGCACAAATAAAATATTTGTACGGTCTAATTAGATAAATTTTACTCCTTTCATGCCATACAAATAGATGTTGATTAACACAAAAGTAAATTCATTCCTTTAACGTAAATTATGAAAGACTTTGTAAATGAGTGATTTATGCATGCATGCAAATGTAAGGGATAGAGACATTCACTCCAATTTACAAGCTTCAGAACACTTCACCTCCATCAACTTCACTATATATAACCCTCCATTTTTTCTTTTTTCATAAGTCGGAGTTGGTTGTTTTTATCTAGGAAGAAACATAACAAAAAAAAATCTCATTTTTGCTGGTATAAAAAAACCAAAAAATAAATATATTTTGTATCTTTTTTTCTTTATTTCTTTTTTTCTTTGGCTTTGATCATTGCCGGCAAAAATGAATCGTTCCATTGTTGCCCTTCTCTGTTACTTCCTTCTACTAGCCTCCTCAGCCTCAGCTTTTAATATCACAAAAATTCTAAGCCAATTTTCTGATTATAGCACTTTTAATGACCTTCTTTCTAAATCTGGCTTAGCCACTGAAATTAACAAAAGGGCCACAATTACAATTTTGGCCGTTCCAAATGGTGCAATTGGTGATCTTACCTCAAAATCAGATGATGTTCTCAAGAGTGTTTTATCAACCTATGTTGTATTAGATTACTATGATATCCCGAAACTCAAAAGTTTAAAGGACAAAAGTGTAAAAATGACAACAATGTACCAACAATCTGGTAAAGCAAGATTTGACCAAGGTTTCTTGAATGTGACAGCTAAAGATGGAAGTTTTGTATTTGGATCAGCTGTTAAAGACGCACAACGCGATTCAAGGCTCGAAAAATCTGTTATGAATCAGCCTTATAACATTTCAGTTCTTGGAATTTCTCAGCCGTTTGTTACACCTGGACTTGATGGAACACTTGCACCAGTTGCAGCACCACCACCTAAGGCTAATAATGCAACATCTTCACCTAAAAGTTCACCACCTGCTTCTGATGATGAAGCAGAGTCCCCTGCTGAGGAAGCAGAGTCCCCTGCTTCTGAAGAAACAGAGGCCCCTGCTCCTTCTAAGGATGCCGATTCTTCGGCTAGTTCGCCCTCATCTGATTCGCCACCGGCTGACGCTCAGGCGCCACCACCGGCTGGATCTTCTGCTGGGAAATTGAAGGTTTCCTTTGGTTTGTTTGTTGTTTTGGCATCAATGGTTGCAGCTTTTTAAAAAGGGAGTTTTGTGAGGATGTCCAAGATTCTTGGATTGTAGAGAGGAAAAAATAAATGATACATCTTATGTACAAGACTTTTAGATGTTAAAACAATATGATTTTCGAAATATATAAGAAGTGTATACCTTTATCCATAGATGATCTCTGTTTACGTTATAATAACAACAACAATAATATTCCCAAGCTCTATGCTGTTGGGAACTCTGCAAGGGTCTTACCACCTTCTTGATTGACTATATTTACATAGTGAAATCTCACAAATGAAGTCTGGGGAAAGTAATGTGTAGGTAGATCTTATACGCTGGGAAGGTAGAGGCCGTTATGTTGAACAGCAATAGTCTTTTTCATCTTGCCCTCTTCTTTTTTCCTTAAGTTATACGTGATGAAACATAGTACTCCCTTTGTATCTCATTTTATATGATTATATTTGATTGGAAAGCCAAGAAATAAATAAAGATTTTAAAACTTTTTTGTGGTTAAAACAAGTTAATTATTTGTGTAACTATAGATTATCTCATTAAAAGTAAAATAAAAATTTTAAGATTAAGTTATTTCTAAATATAAAAATGTATCATATTTTTGGGACAGACGATGGTGGCCTATGGTAACATTCTCAGAAAAAAGGACCAGCTTATGGTGGCCTAGTTGTTGCTACTGAACGAAGGAAATTCAGTTAAACCACTTCAAGGTAGCTACTGGCCGGCTGGGACAGGCGTGATTGAACCGTGGTGGGAGAAGGCTTCACCTATCCCATCTCACTTCGTTTTGTTTCGTCACATTTTCTAGATCCTGCACATAATAAGAGATAATTTCACCAAACTGTCTTTTTATTAAAAAAGAATGTACACAATTAACTAGCCCAACCCATAGGTTGAATTGCACTGGTCGGTTTAATTTGAAGGGATCTTTACACAAATAGCAGGTCGAATTTAGTGTTTATTTTTCTTAGCCGATATATACAGATTATGCAGTGATTATACATGGTTATAAATATATTGTACATAAATTATACATATACTATATGTAACGACCCGGCCGGTCGTTTTGAGAATTAACGCCCCGATCCCCTATTAACTGCTTTCCCCGTATTTGTTTATGCTATTGTGGGTTGCCGAGAGGATTTGTTTTGAGTTTCGGAGTGTTTCAGGACACTTAGTCCCTAAATGAGAGCTTAAGCTTTAGAATTCGGACCGTAGTCGGAACAGTGTGAAGACGGCCTCGGAATGGAATTCCGTCAATTCCGTTAGCTCCGTTGGGTAATTTCGGGCTTAGGAGTGTGTTCGGATTGTGTTTTGGAGGTCCGTAGCTTATTTAGGCTTGAAATGCCGAAAGTTGAATTTTTGAATTTTCCGGATCGATAGTGAAATTTTGATATCGGGGTCGGAATCCGATTCCGAAAGTTGGAGTAGTTCCGTAGTGTTGAATGTGACTTGTGTGCAAAATTTGGGGTCAATCGGACTTGGTTTGGTTGGTTTCGGCATCGGTTGTAGGATTCTTGAAATTTCAAGTTCTTTAGGCTTGAATTGGAGGGTGATTCGTGGATTTAGCGTTGTTTGATGTGATTTGAGAGTTGGACTGAGTCCGTATGATGTTTTAGGATTGGTTGGTATGTTTGGTTGAGGTCCCGGGGGCCTCGGGTGAGTTTCGGATGCTTGACAGAAGTGAATTTGGACTTAGGCAAATTCTGAAGTTTGCTGCTTCTGGTATTTTCGCACCTGCGGTGAGGAGCCCGCAGGTGCGGCCGGCAGAAGTGAGGTTAGAGGTCGAAGGTGCGGTCTGGGGCATGAAGACCAGTGGTCGCATATACGATATAAGAACCGCAGAAGCGGACCGCATCTGCGAAGAATGGAGCGCAGGTGTGGCTCCTCGGGGTTTAATGAAATCTCGCAGATGCAGGTCGCCAGCCACAAAAGCGGGACCGCATATGCGGCCCCATGACCGTAGTAGTGGGAATCGCTGGGCAGAAATATGAAAATCGAGGGTTTGAGTTCATAACTTGGAAAATCAATTTGGAGCTCGGGGGAAGGCGATTCTGTGGGGTTTTTGAAGAGAAGATCATTGCGTAACGATTCCTAATCCCTTTTTGGTTGTATCCCATTAATCTATGCTTAAAATCATTAAATTTCGGAATTGGGGTGAAAAATTAGAAAAATGGAGGAACGTTCTTAGGCCTAATTTTTGAATTTTGATCGAGATTTTGGTATCGAATTTGAGTGAATTTGGTATGTCTAGACTCGTGAGTGAATGGGTGTTCATAATTTGTGACTTTTGCCCGATACCGAGACGTGGGCCCGAGGAGGATTTTTGAGCGTTCTTGTATTTTCTTGCCTTAGTTTCGATTTCTTTAGCTAAATTAGTTGTTTGTAGTTGTATTTACGTTATGATATTGATTTGATTAGATTTGGGCCACTCGGAGTTGGATACTCGTGGCAAGAGCGTGACTTCGGATTGATTTTTGAGCTGGTTCCAGGTAAGTGGCTTGCTTAACCTTGTGTGGGGGAACTCCCCTTAGGATTTGGTACTGTTGTTGTTATATGAATGCCGTGTACATGAGGTGATGAGTGCGTACACGTGCTAATCGTTGGAAAACCCCATTTATTAAGTAAATATTTGTGTTTCCTTTTGTTGAACACTACATGTAATCGGAAGCCTACTGTTTAGCTTAGGAAAGCATGCTTAAGTGACTTAACTGTTCTATCTGCTTGAATTCTGTGCAGCATGTTTAGAATAGAAATATCTGTTTTCTTGGTACGAACTTGGGTAGTACTGTAGATTCTTTCTTGAGACTGTTGTGTGTTTACTTTGGGACTACAGGACGATATCCCGAGAGATCCCCTTGCATGTTTACTCTGGGACTACGGATCGGTATCCCGGGAGATCCCCCTACACATTTATATTTGGGACTACGGGACGACATCCTGGGAGATTTTTCCCGATACTGGATATTTACTTTGGGACTACGGATTGGTATTCCAGGAGATTCCCTTGCACATTACGATTTGGACTACGGGACGATATCCAGGGAGATCCTCTGTTTACGTTTGGGACTACAGGATGATATCCTGGGAGCTCCCCTGTTGCTATCTCTGTGTACTGAATTATATTCTTCCTGTGATTTTATTCTTTATTGACTGTTAATATCTTAATTACACTGTCACATTTCATATTGCTTTATCTGCTATATATATATAACACCAGTAGGGCCCTGACCTTCCTCATCACTACTCGACAGAGGTTAGGCTCGGCACTTACTGGGTACCGCTGTGGTGTACTCATGCCCTTTCCTGCACATGTTTTTCGTGTGCAGATCCAGGTTCTTCTGCTCAGCCATTCAGTGAGGCGGGCAGACTTCGAGGTATATCTGCCGCGTCCGCAGACCTAGAAGTCCCTCTCTGTTCTTCCCTTTAGCTTTAGACTTCCTGTATTTACTTTTGATTAGACATTCTGGCACTATGTAGTTTTCTCTAGCTTGTGATTTCATGAGATTCTGGGTTTTGGGAGTTGTGATTCAGTTTTGAGAGTGTGTATTGTATATGTCGGGCGGCATTCTTAAACTCCTTTATTTTGTTTTACCCGTAACTTGTTAATTTCGTGTTTTATTTCCTTTTTCCACAATTTGTTAGCCTTACCTAGTCATAGAGACTAGGTGCCGTCACAACAGTTCACGGAGGGAGAACTTGGGTCGTGACAAGTTGGTATCAGAGCTCTAGGTTCATAGGAGTCATGAATCACAAGCCGGTTTATTAGAGTCTTGCGGATCGGTACAGAGACGTCTGTACTTATCTACGAGAGGCTATGTAACTGTTAAGAAAATTCCACTTCATTTGATTTCCTTGTCGTGCGAGATTTTTGATACCACAATTCTAAACCTCTGTCTTCTATTCTCTCACATATGGTGATGACACGTGCTACTGGAGATGACCAGGCACCCGCGCCCCCTGCTAGAGCCGCCAGAGGTTGGGGCTAGGGTAGAGGCTGAGGACGCGCACGTGGTGTAGCCAGAGCACCCGCACGAGCTGCCACAGAGGAGCCACCAACAGCTCTAGCCGGAGCCCAGGCACCTGATACGCCTAGTGCTACTACTATTCCAGCTCTTCAGGAAACCCTTGCACAGTTCGTGAGCATGTACACTACTCTAGCTCAGGCAGGGTTGATTCCCCTTGCTGTAGCCATATCCTAGGCCGGGGGAGGAGCACAGACTCCCGCCGCCCGCACCCCAGAGCAGCGGGTCCAGGTTGATCAGATCCTAGAGGTTATACCGGTACCGCCTGTAGCCCCAGTTCAGCCCGAGGACAGGGCAACAGCTTCAGAGGATGAGCAACGGAGGCTTGAGAGGTTCAAGAAGTACAAGCCTCCTACATTCAGTGGTCTAGCATCAGATGATGCACTGGGATTTCTAGAGGAGTGCTACCGTATCCTCCGCACTATGGGTATATCAGGATCGAGTTGGGTTTCTTTCACTGGCTTCCAGCTTTAAGGAGCAGCCTATCAGTGGTAGCGTAATTATGAGTTGGACAGCCCAGCTGAGGCAGCTTCTCTTACATGGACCCGGTTTTCAGATATGTTTTTGAGGGAGTATGTTCCTCAGAGCCTCAGGGACGCATGGCGCGCAGAGTTTGAGCATTTGCGCCAGGGTACTATGACTGTGTCGGAGTATGCTGTCCGTTTCACTGACTTGGCTAGGCATGCACCAGCCTTGGTCTCTACGATTCGCGAGAGAGTTCGCCGGTTTATTGAGGGGCTTATTCCCAGCATCAGGTCTAGCATGGCTCGGGAGTTGGAGATGAATATTTCTTATCAGCTGTGGTGAGCATTGCTAGGAGAGTACAGGGTATGAATGCTCGGGATAGAGAGGAGAGTGAGGCCAAGAGGTCTTGAGAGTCGGGCTATTATTCTGGTGCCCGTTCCCCAGCTGCAGTTCGTCATGGTAGGGGTTATATGAGTCGCCCCGTTTATTCAGCTCTTCCAGCAGCAAGTGGTATTCCAGCTCCTCCTAGACCTCAGGAGTCTTATTATGAACCTCCAGTATCTAGTACGCCTCCTGCACGGGGTGCTTTCAGTGGTCAGTCTAGCAGACCTGGCCCGAGCCAGTGACAGCCGCCATGTTCTCCCAGAGCTTGTTTTGAGTGTGGTGGCACACGCCATATGGTGAGAGATTTCCCCAGACTTAGGAGGGGTGCACCTCTATAGATTTCTCAACCTCAG